TGGGGGAAAAAAAACTCTTTTCTCTCTAATAACAATTAAAAAAAAAACGAATTGTGCTTTTCTAAACTCTAGAAAAGGAAGTGATTAGACACTTCGCATTGATTCATCTTGATAATTGATCTGGGACCTTTTTATTATCGCTTACTAAACCTTCTTCATATTTATTCAAACCCCTTAACGTCCTGGGTATGACGATAAACTACATACAGCGTCCTGGGTGAGACGATAAACTACATTCAACAGCCAGGCCTCTGTTCAGGAGGTTTTGAGGACCTTGGAAACACATCTTAATTGCTGGTGTTCCCAGATCCACTCTGATCCGGGGTGGTAGCAACTGTTAGGGTCCTAGCTATAGGCAAATAATTGACTACCTTACCAAATTGGGGTCAGAACATTATGAAAGTGTAAAAATAGGTTTTAATAACAGAAATATTTTGTAAAATTTATTATCAGCAATAAACTTTTGAAGAAAAAATTATTACCAGCAATATATTATTACCAGGAATACATTTTTGAAAAAAATATTACCAGAAATGTATAAATCATAAACAAAACGTTACCAGCTATACATTTTTGAAAAAAAAATTACCAGCGGCACATTTTTGAAAAAAAAAATTACTAACGGTATATTTTTGAAGAAAAAATATTGTTAGCAGTACATTTTTGAAAAAAAAAAATTATTACTAGCATTAAAAATTTTGTCAGCATCAAATAACCCATTGAGGTTGATATGCCGTAAACCAAACCAAACCAAACCAAACCTCTTACACGTTGAGCGAACCTAACTTAATCACAGATAACCACAATATTTTTCAAGGCCAAACAAATTTCATCATACACTCCGAAAATAGATTCATATTACTGCACACTACTGCAAATAACCTAATCTGAAGAAAAAATAGAAATCGATTACAATCTGTAACTCCAGTGGGTTTCAAATTGACCATATGGCGAAAGAAAGGAAACTAAAGCAGTTGTTTCAATTAATTTGCACAAGGATGTAAGTTCGATTTACAGTGTATCGTTACTTCCAAACTAGACCTTAAAATGAGTTCGTTTTTATTTTTTCAATGCGCAGTTACGTCCATAATTGTAAAAACCACTAAGACTGAAGGGGTTACTAAGCGTGAAATAAGAAAAAAAGAAAAACAATATTAACCCTTTCGAGTCTCCTGGGACGTATGCGTCCCACAGATATTTTCAACACGTCCTGCAGGACATAATTGCCGTAAACCAGACCAAACCAAACCTTTTACACGTTGAGCGAACCTAACCAATTTTTATGCTGGGTAAATGGGGAGATATCGTCGAAAAAAAGTGACTTGTAATCTAAGTCATGTAGTCTAGGGCTAATGCCCTGTGTTCCAAATCAAACTCACCTTTCTTGAACCTAGTCTTTGTAAATCATTTTATTCACTTTAGCTGTTGTCTTTCTCATCTGTAACTGAAACAATATGCAGTCTCCTACAATGATCTTGTCCGCCAGGTATTTTAATTTGACTCTCATCACTTAACCCTTTCGAGTCCGCTGGGACATATGTGTCCCACAGATATTTTCAACACGTCCTGTGGAACATAATTGTCCCAAAAAACGCATCGATATGGAATAAAGTGGACATAATGTCCCATTGCAATATTTATAATAATACATTTAATAATATTATTTTTCTAAGTCAAAGTCATTTAGATATTATATCTACTGAAACGAACAATAATATTTTTTGATGTAGATATCTATTACACAAATGTGAACTTGAAAAGGTGAAATGAATGCCAAATACAAAACAATCAATACAAGTTTATTTTCATTCAGGTTGTAGTTTTCCTATATCTACTGAATGAAAACGATAATTTTCATAGAGATAATATTATTTTCTTAATATTTTAGATGAAGATTTGTCAGTTACTTGTATTACTTTCACTTTCATTTTATTTGATTTTTAGAGCAAATCTCACACTGTTATTTGGGTCGGTGAAATCTATTTACATGTCATACGAATTTGTCAACACTAACAATTATACGAGTAAATTTGAAAAAAAAAAAAAAAACGATTTAAAATTTAATTTATTCGAGCTTTCTCTCTGTGGCGTGGCTTCTCTCTGTCTTTTCTACAAATATTTTCATAGCTACTGCTCTGAAGATGTTTTTTTCCTGGTTCCTCAACTACATGAATTTAAGCGTGCTATTAGATTGGCATCTAGATCCCACCCGCTTACTGTTGAAATAGATAAATGCAACCGACATTTCTACTCCAACAGTTTCTTTTCTCGCACTTCCTGCCTGTGGAACTCCCTGATAAATACAATCTTCAAAATTTTAAAAGCAACGACAATGGCCATCTTCTATCTGTTACTGCCCATCTTTCCAATAGTGGAACATACCATCCATACAAAAATTATACCCGAATTTCTCGATCTTCATCACTTACATAAAGGGTTTTTGCTCCAACTACCACAAAACATTTAACCTCTTCAAGTTTAAGATCTCACGTTATTTATCCTAAACAGCTCCCTCCTTCTTCTATGCCTTTTCAACAATCTCATTCATTAATGCTCTGCCTTGAATAGCCCTCGTGCCTTGTACTGAGTGAACAAAAGAATAACAAAATGTCCAAGTACTAAAATTTTAACTATATATACATGTCCTTCTTCCTAGGTAAAATAACCGTATTTTTTTATTTTTCTCGAGAGTGATTGTCTAAAAAACCTAAAAAGGGTTGATAAACCATAAAAACAAACTAATCAATCGATATAAATTTATTTGGGGAAAATATAGTGGAACGGTATCCCCGTTGCCTTCGCAATAGTTTGAATTCAGAATATTCTTCCACCTAGGCAGGTTGTCACCAAAAACTATATTATCATGTATATCATGTTATTTAATCCATAGCTGGGAGTACTAAAACTAAAATTATAACCACCCTACCGCAAACATTTGTATCAAGGAGTAGATGATTACAGCTCTCCACAGCTTCCTTTACTTTATAATCTGTCAACTGCCATGCCTTCTTTGGAAAGATAATGGAGTGCTATCCTGTTATTTAATCCATAGCTGGGAGTACTAAAACTAAAATTATTACAACCCTAACGCAAACATGTGTATCAAGACGTAGATAGTTGAAGCTCTCCACAGCTTCCTTTATAATCTGTGAAATGCCATGCATTCTTTGGAAAGATAATGGAGTGCTATCCTGTTATTTAATCCATAGCTGGGAGTACTAAAACTAAAATTATAACCAGACTAATACAAACATTTGTATCAAGGAGTAGATGATTAAAGCTCTCCACAGCTTCCTTTTCTTTATAATCTGTCAACTGCCATGCATTCTTTGGACAGATAAAGGAGTGCTATCCTGTTATATTTTACGCGGATTGTATTAAGAGTTTTCCTTTTCTTTGACCGGTTTTCATCTAAGGCTATAGAGTCCAGTCTACCCTGCTATTTCACCCATAGCTGGTCGATTGCAGGGGTGCGGCTGGAGAAAAGAGCGATTCTTACCTAAGAGCAATAATACAATTGTGAACGCAAGAGAGACTAACAGAATTTTAACTCGGCTCACCGATACCACTCTCTATATCCATTACACTACCCGCCCACCCTCTGCCAATGTCTACTCGCTCTGGATCTGTCGCTTACACACCCGCCCGCCACATTCTTGCAGATAAACACTGACATCCTTTCTAGACTTTACAATCGCTTCCACACTTAGTCACATTTTCTTCCTTCTCGCTACCCCACCTTCACCGGCGACCACACTTACACACTTATACATGCATATATCAATTCATAGTTGTATCGTGTCGTATTTTTTCCCAGGCTCTATCCACCCAGGTTGCAAACAGTGACTTGTTAGCACACCTGTGCGCTGTAGTGAGACGTCCGGCTCTAAATGCAAGCTAGACTGTCTGGCGCCAGTGGTCGTTTCGGGTGAATGCGCCTTCTTCTTCTTCTTCTTCTTCTTCTTCTTCTTCTTCTTCTTCTTCTTCTTCTTTAACAGGAAACTAAAGCCAGGTGTAAACAATTATATGATCTTGTACAGCAATCAATGCTGTTGTCAAAATACATACATACACACCAACCTGAGATAATATACTGTTTGTGTTCGATAAGCTTTATAATATAGTTCTTTTTTCTTCCTCTCTTTCGATGGTGGCAAAGAAAAAAAAAACTTAAGGGTTAGGGTTACCGAGGTCTGTAGTGAGGTGTTTTCAAAAGAGGCACTAGAAGAAATTGTCACGAGAAAGAGAATTGATAAGCAAAGTATATAAATATTGATTTAGGCAGGCCACACCTGATCACGTTTTGCGGAAGATTGTGTTGCATCAAGCTGATTGAACAACCCGCTAGCTAAGTAGGAATACGGTAAGATTTTCTTCGTATGGTAAATGACTTTACAAAGAAGGGAACTCTCTATGTTTGCAATGACCTACAAGGGACAAGTTGGCTAAGTTAACTAAGTTTCGACGAGAGACATTCCACTTAGCTCATGGTCAGGCTTTTTAAACTTAGGGATTCGAATATTATGTTTCTCTCTGAATTTCTGGGATGAAGAGTTACGGTTACTTATATTATTTACAATCGAACTGATATCATTATCTTTGTTGTTAATATGAAAACATATCTGCCGTAGTGTTCTTCATCCTTCTCTATGTATGTCTGTCGATTTGTTAAAAGTTACCTTTCAGGGAATTTAAAAATTAACACTTTATTTAATCTACAAGACTCGATTGTTCTTGTTTTGTTGGCTCAGTCTAGCGTTATCTAATCTTTTTTCTTATTACAGAGTGTTAAATCATGATGTTCAGTTCAATCCCACTTTTCCTCTCACTCACACAGACACACAAACACTTGTGTGTGTGTGTGTGTGTGTGTGTGTGTGTGAGAGAGAGAGAGAGAGAGAAAGAGAAAAGAGAGGGAAGAACGAAAGAACAAAGGGAATGAGAAAGAGAGTGAAAATAGAAAGAAAGGGAGATGGGAACGCGTGGAGAGAAAGAAATATTTAATAGTTGAGAGGGGGAAAAAAGGAAGATGATAAATGCAAGAGGAGGAGGGGGGAGATTTTATTGCGAGACACAACTGGAAAAGAGGTGGAAAAATAGAGAGACAAATTGAAAGGAAAGGGAGGGCCTGAAAATGAAAGAGAGAGAAAGAGTAAATTATGAGAAAGGGAAAAAAAGTAGAGAAAGAAAGCATGACATGGATAGCTGAGAGAAAGAAAGAAAGAAAGAAAGAAAAAGAAAGAAAGAAAGGAAGAAGAAAGACAGGAAGGAAGGAAAAGGAAGGAAGGAAGGAAGGAAGGAAGGAAGGAAGGAAAGGAATGGGTGAAAGAGAGACTGGGCTGAGGTGCCAGAAAACTGACCGAAAAAGCAGAGCGAAAGCGAAAGCAATGGGGATGAAAGGGCGAGAACGAAAGAGAAAGAGATTATAGATAGAAACGAAAAGACAGAGAGAAAGTGCGAGGAAGAAAAAGGACAATGACTAGAGACGAGAGGAAGATAATGAGTACATCAGGAGAGACAGGTTGAAAGAAATAGGGAGAAAAGAAATGAAAAAGAGAGGGTAAAGCGTCAGTGAAAGGGGAAAGAATGAGAGAGAGAGAAGACTACATGAGAACTGAGACAGATAATCAATGGAGAATACAGAAAAGTGGGAGAGGAAGAAAGATAAAAATTGGTGAAAGATAGTGGAGAGGAAGGGAAGAAAGGTAACGTGTAAAGGGAAAAAAGATTAGATTGAGAGAAAAAAAGAGGGAGAGAAAGAGGATATGAGAGTAAAAAAAGACCGGGGTAAGGGAAAGAAAGAACGAAGTAGAAAGCGATTAGAGATTAAGAGAGAGAGAAAGACGAAACTGAAGAGGGAATCGTAGAGAGGGAGGGGGATAATGACATGAATAGGAGAGACTGGTTAGAAAGAAATAAAGGGAAAAAAGAGGAACATAGAGATAAAGAGAGAGAGAAAGAGAGAGAGAGAGTTAGGGAAAATGAAAGAACGAGAGAGGAAGGGAGAAAAGGGTGTTAAAAAACTATAAAGAAAAACTATAAATAAATATTCAAAAGATATTTTTGGCTCAATGAATTCTATTGTCACAATACATTTGAACGGCTTAGTGATTTTAGAAGCAGAACCAAATAAATAGTTAAGTAAATACATAAATAAATAAAATCATGAATCCCATTCATAGCATAAATAAATAATTAAGATTCTGAAATCCTATTTTTCCGAGCGATTAAATCATTTTAAAAAGATAATTATTATAAAATGGAATCTATATCGTAAATTTAAATCCTTAATATAAGTTAATATAAGTTAATATAAGTTAGGCAAAAAAAAAAAAACATCGTGTCGTCTCCTTTCAGTACGTGTGAGATGACGGTCATCCACAGCTTCCTATTTTTGCCCTTCTAATCAAAATTTATCTCTTTACTATCCCTCACATGCCCTGTTCGTGCTGGGTATGACGATAAACTACGTTAGTTTCCTGGGTAAAACGATGAACTGCATCCAACAGCAAGGCCTCTGTTCAGAAGGTTTTGACGAGCGTGGAACCACTTCTTGATTGCTGGTTTTTCCAGATCCATCTTGAACCGGAGTAGTAGCACCTGTTGGGGTCCCAACTATAGCCAAGTAGATAACCCCCTCAAACTGAGGTCAAGACACTATGAAAGTGTAAAAATAGGTTTTAATACCAGCAATAAATTTTTGAGGAAAAATTATTACCAGCAATACATTATTACCGGCAATATATTTTTGACGAAAATAAATATTGCCAACAATACATTTTTGAGGAAAAAATATTTCCAACAATGCATTTTTCGAAATAATTATTACCTGCAGTGCATTTTCAAGAAAAATGTATTACCAGTAATACATTTTTGGGAAAATATTACCAGCAATAAAAATCTTGTCGACATTAAATAACCCATTGAGGTTGATATGCCCTAAAACAAAATAAACCAAACCAAACTAAACCAAAGAATACATATTCTATTCATACGAATCTATCCTAAAAATGTTGTCGGCATTAAATAACCCATTGAGGTTGATATGCCGACAAAATAAACCAAACCAATCTAAACCAAAGAATACATATTCTATTCATACTAACCTATTCTAAAAATGTCGGCATTAAATAAATCATTGATGTTGATATGCCATAAAAAAAACAAAAAACAAACCAAACTAAACCAAAGAAAACATATTCTATTCATACGAATCTATCCCCAAAATCTTGTCGGTATTAAATAACCCATTGAGGTTGATATGCCGTAAAACAAAATAAACCAAAACCAAACTAAACCAAATCCTGTTTTGCTATCCATTTACCCAAGCTTATTAGGTAGATATTTCCGTTTTTCCCGCTTGCTTTCCATATGTCTTGTGAGTGCCAACTTCTCCAAATCAACTTTCCTCATTATGTATCCTAGTAATTTCAACTCTGTTTCTGATTCTAGGAACAAGTGTCCCTTTGCCTCCAATTTTCCTTAACACCTACTTGTTGTTTACATGCTCTGTTCATGGTATTATCTGCATCCTTCTGTAGAACCACATCTCTTGCTACAATTCTCTTCACTTATGACGAATTTGCCCAGTTGTCACAGCTATATAGAAGGATTATGTGGCTGTTCAGCAGTCTTTGTTTCTAATTAGATTTACATGTTTCTTAATACTCGGTTTAGCATCTTTCAAGACATCTTAGCAAGGCATCTTTCGTTATAGCCAAGAACATTCGGATTTCTGTCACATGTTCCGTTTTCTGTTAAAGGACTTCACAAGTGGTTAAAATTCCGTACTTGGTTTTGACATCCCAATAGGGGCATGCATCTTGGGCTGTTCCACATGCTAACAACCATCTGTCTTCTTACAATTGAAGTTTAGTCCGATTCTTCTCGATTTGCTTCTGTTTCTCTCCTCAGCAATGTGTCATCTGCACATCTTTTGTCCATTAATATCTACATATAAAACAGAGGCTGTCTGTGTGTCTGTGTGATACCTTTCCACCCGAGATTCGTCTAACTGATTCTGACCAAACTTGGCACATACATTGTACAAGGTAAGAGATAGGTTCTTCGCGGAAAAAATCCATAATTTTCTAAAAAAATCAATAATCTATAAAGCCGATCAAAAAATCGATAATTTCAACTTTTTTCCTCCGATTTCGTTCAAACTCGGTATGTAGTTTGCTTACACCATGATAAGCATAACGATATTTTATTTCTACGTCACTGTGTTTAGCGGAAAACCGCGAAAAACGAAAAATCGATTTCAACAGAAATTTTAAACTAAAGACGCCCACATTTTTCAAGCAATCTAATACAAACTTCACTCAATTTTAGTCGACAAGAAGTTGATTGTTTAACAGTCATTTAACTTTTATAATTTTTGTTCCCCCATCTAGTAAAAACCCGCGTAAATAGCGAAAAATGGCGATTTTTACTGGTTTCTTTCTTATATTTCATTTCATTCTCATCAAACTTAACAATTGCTTTATAAATGTATCCTCTTTTACATCCCTGGAAGCACAATGACAAATTGAATTTCAAAAACTCCAAAATAATTGTTGCCTGATCATGTTGACTGTTTAACCTCTTCATGTTCTCGGCTAAATTCGATTGAATAAGTACAGGCTACTTTTGTTATATCAGTAACTGCATTAATTCAAAATGTTTTTTTTTTTTTTTAATGGAAGTACATTAAATAATCGAAGAAGATAGACTCTGTTACATCTAAACATCATGCTATTTTTGCATCATTCTAATTGGATTTTTTTCTAATCGACCAGCTGAGTATGACTGTTAGTCATAAATAATGTTACGACTTCTAATGCTCTTGCTGTCTAGTTTAAATCCGGTGAAAAGACACATCTTTGTCTTATATCCCATCCCATTCCGATGTACTTACTCAATTCATTGTCGTGTCTCTATGGTAATGATAATGATAATATTAGCTGATGATAGTCAGAGTGTACGTGACTCAAACGTTGTGTCTCTAATAACATCTATATAAAAACCAATAGAAAATAAAACGCTAAATTATGAATTCGGTAGGAATTGGCCATGATAAACATCTGACTGAATATAAAGATTCCATAATTACACCACATCCATACGGTACCGTATCTGATATTTCCAAGCGGTTACCCAACCAGTTACTGACCAGGCTGGACGTTGTTTAACTTCAGAAATGAAATACAAAATCAAGACGAGCAGTACGAACCCGCCAAGAAGACGAAATGTCGAAACCATATATATAAAAGGCTCCAAAAATACACAAATTCGGGACGGTGGCGTAGTGGATGTGTAAGGTGGGTAAACATGAGCTCAATCACTGGATTAGCTAATGAAGGAATTGTTCAAAATTTGTTCACTAGTAACTGTCATCGTAGGGTAAAAGAATAATAAATAGATATATCAATCAAATAAATAGGCATCTGATGATAGCCAGAGCGTACTTGGTCGAAACGTTGCGACTATAATAACATTTATATATTAACCAAGATGAGATCTATAGCTCAAAAGAATAAAAAAATACTTCATGAAATATTTCCCAACCTAAAATTCTTTTAACTCATACGAAACATAGCTAGACCCCCAACACGTTTAGTATAACTATATTCATGACTACGGCCAGTTTAGACTTTCACAGGACCATGCCACGTACACATGGTCGAATCATCACGATTTCAATCGTATTCCATGGGTAAGGAAGAAGTTCCAATCAGTTTATTCCACAGAACTGCGAAATACACTCTTGAAAGGAAACTTCCCTGATCAATACGGTCTTAATTTTTTCAAGTTTAGTGTCAATCGTTATCTATCCTACATATCATCATGATATGTCCTTTTTATTTTCTCAATGCAACAACCTCATTCAGAAACAATTTTTTATTTGATTGTAAAAAAAAGATATAAAAATCGAAAAAAACAGAAAATTTATCTGACATGTTAACCGGTCTGAAAAAATTCTGATCATCGCGAAATAAAATTGTTCCAATGAAGATGAGGATAACAGTCCAAATAATGTAAATAATGCAAGTAATCATAATACCACATCTCAGAGATATAGAGGCCGAAACGTTGTGAATATGGCAATGAAGATGAGGATAACAGCCCGAATAATCTAAATAATGCAAGTAATCATAATACCACATCTCAGAGATATAGAGGCCGAAACGTTGTGAATATGGCAATGAAGATGAGGATAACAGCACATATAATGTAAATAATGCAAGTAATCACAATACCTCATCTCAGAGATATAGACAAAATTGTTAAAGGAAATGAAATGGTATGGCCACGTGACAAGACCATCCTCCAAGAACAGAGCAAGGAAAAAATAAACGATACATACAGTAAAAAAGAAATATTTAGACAATATCACTAAATGGACAGAGACAAACTTGTCGCAACTCAAGCTCTATCGGACAGGCACCAAAAATGATGTCACTTTATACTTCATCAGTACAAACACCCCTAGGACAATATCAGATTACGGGACAAGGAGGTACTGTCGTTAGAGTGCTTTTAGGTTTGGTTTGCTTTGTTTTGTTTTACGGTATATCAACCTCAATGGGTTATTTAACGCCGACAAGATTTTAATGCTGGTAATATTTTTTTTTTAAAATGTAGTACTGCTATTTTTTCCATAATATATAACAGGTAATATCTTTTTTTTTCAAAAATGTATACTACATGTAACGAACTCAACTGTAATTCAAATTCGGATCTCGAATTCGTTAATTTTAATGAATCTCCATTATGCCAGCGTATCGCCTTCATCTAACAATTATTAGAAAGAATCAATATCGGTAAAATAATGCTAATTATAATTAAATAAGGAAGGTGAAAAAATTAAAGATATATTTAAATATCTATGATGAGTTTTTATTTTATATTTTTATCATTTTTTTTAAATTCCCTTATGTTAGCAATATGTTACCACGCTATTAATGCCGATGAGCAGGCCTCGTGTTAATAAAGAGAAAGGAATTCCTGACTCACTCGGTAATTGATCCAAGTTGCTCATAATTACCCGGCAACGGGCGAGTCTATTGTTACGGACTGAAGATAGAAATTATCTCTCTCGCTCATTCTCGCTCTTTCTTTCTTTCCAATTGTTCTTTCTTTTCTGACCCGTATTATCGTTAAAACGACAAATAACTGTTTCCAATTGAATACTGTCTTGTTAGGTACAAACTTTCTTTCCTGTCTATTGATTCTTATTAATGTTTTGTGACGACACAGGTTTCAGGTTCCGTTGATTGTAGTAGAATGTTTGAAGGTCGGTTAATTTCAAAGCTTAAGAAGACATTAATCTTCGTTAAGCTAAAAACAGCAAAGTTTATTCCAATTTTATTGTTCCGAAGAGTGTTGATTAACACCTGTCCCTTAATCTCATGCTTTCTATAACTTCCCCCACTTTATCCCGACGGTAGGCAGTAATTCTTGTCTAGGAAAGCTATGGCTTCATACTATCAGACAATTAATCTTTTGTACATAGATAAAGAATTTGTTGCTGACTGACCACTGACCGCAACCTGTTAGATTAGATTGAATTCTGTAAAGGTCATTTCAACTGTATAAACATTAGACTCGTCAACTACAAAAGCTGGCACCATATGTATTATTCGATATGACATCTGAACGAAGGCGATTAAAAAAAAGTCGCACCTGCATCAAGAATATTAGTCGGAGTGGGGGATTAACTTTCTTTTAGTTTCCAGTTCGACTATATTTTTTACTTATGTCTTACCGGCGTCGCATCATTTAGTGCATTTATTCGGAAATTGATTTTACGTTTGTAAATAAATAAAAACTTTTTTTCTAAATTAATAAACTATAGAGCTACATTCGAGGAATATTGCAGGTTGTGGAATCGGCGAGACAACTTCAGATTCCATTCCAAACTTAATCTGCTACAATTTCTTTCGCACAAATACCCTTGTGAAAGCCATAAACCCCTCTGTTCTCTCCGGGGCTACAGCTATGGGTTAAATAGCAGGGTAGATTGTACTCTCTTGTCTTGAGAGGCAACCCGTCTAAGAGAAAGAAACCTCTGAAATACGTGTAGAAAGCAACTGGAAACTACTCCACTATCTTTCTTAAGAATTCTTGGTAATTCACAGATAATCAAGAAAAAGAAACCATGGAGAGCCACGAACACCTACATTCTAAAGGGATATGTCCTTAAAAGTGCTCGGTAAAAATGGCAGCGGTAAAAATGGCAGCGGAAAAAATGGCAGGGTAAAAATGGCAACAGTAAAAATGGCAACGGTAAAAATGGCAAAAGTGGATAAATAGGAAAAAATGGCAATTCGACAACAGAAAATTATGACCGTTCGAGAAGGATAGGTCTAAGCTCCCATCCCTCTAGTTTAAAATAGGGATAAGCCCCCCCCCACCTCAATATTTTAAAATAAATATTTTTAAATAGATATTTACTCTAGTGGGGGCGGGGAGCTAGGCTCCTTCTCCTCTTGTTTTAAATAGGGGCTAAGTTCCCGCTCCTAGTATTAAAAACATTTTTTTTAAATTTTCGATGTCGATTTTTAGAAGTTTTATTAGGGGGGGGTAGGTTCCTACTCTTAATTGCAGCAAAAGCATAAATCGTAGCGTGTTTAAGTTAATTTGATGACTATAATTCATTTTATAATTAATAGCTGACATTAGGATTAGATGTGTATATATATTTCATTAACTTCTTAATACTTCAAAAATCGTTTAAAATTCTTTATTGCTTTCAAGCACGTAATGCAATGATAACATTAATGAAAAAGTAAATTTTAATAAACTCATTATTTATCCATTTTTGCCATTTTTACCGTTGCCATTTTTTATCTATTTATCCATTTTTGCCATTTTTACCGTTGCCATTTTTACCGTTGCCATTTTTTATCTATTTATCCATTTTTGCCATTTTTACCGTTGCCATTTTTACCCTGCCATTTTTTCCGTTGCCATTTTTACCGCTGCCATTTTTACCGCTGCCATTTTTACCTAAATTCGTCCTTAAAAGTAAAAAAGAAATACATTGATAAGGTTACATTTAAGCCTGTTTGGTAGTTGAATTTAATGTAGAAGTTTTTTATTATTAATATATTTTCATTTTACAGGAACTAGTCAGGTACGTATTACTTTGCTAACGCCAGATTACATACACTTGCACGCAAATATCATTGGGAAATATATGAATCCATTTCTCCAACTTATGGGTTGAATAGTAAGAGTTGTGTCCTAAAATGATTGTTTTTCTAAAAAAAAAAATATTAACGCTATATTCTTACAATCAAAAATATGTTTCGGCTTTTAATAACTAACGAAAGATTGATAAACAGTAAAAAAAAAACTCAAATCTATAAAAATGACTTCAAAAGGCCGAATTATAATGTTTTCCTGTTACCAGGGCTTGTTGCCACGCAGAAAGGGAAATTAACACCCACGACACAGATATCCATTTGAATTTCGTTTAAATTGCGTTTATATGTATATATACACATTTATATATTTAATTCAGTAATAGACTTAATTATATTTCTACAATTAGATAAAAAAAATCTTTAAAAATAATTCATACTGAATGATTTCCGAATAGTTCAATAAAATCTTATAATGAATTCATTTTTTGAGGTTTTAAAAAAATTAATTTTTTTTCTTTGCTTTGTTATGTCAACAGACACTCGTTGCACTTTTGTGATGTCAACGAATACTCGTTGTCACTTTCGTAATGCTCGTTGTAGTAGAGACTTTGTAATCGCAGATACAGCTATAGTAAACAATACTGGTGTCAGACGCCTTTTAATATCACTCGCACTAATAATACTTGCTCGATAATACTCGCTCGAATAGTAACCACCGAATAGTAATTCGTATAGTGATCACTATAGACCAGTAGTGTAGTGAATAGTATAGAGAATAGAAATAGTGATCTGTCAGAGAGCCGAGTTCGAATTCCAGTCGAATCCATTACATTCGCTTACGGGCTAAAACCCTTGGGAAAGATATGAATCCTCATCTTCTCCGCCCCCACCTTCAGCTATGGGTAAATAGCAGGGCAGACCGGGTCCTATAGCCTTGAATGGCAACTGGTCTACCACAGAATGAAATGGCAGCCTACTGCGTGAAAAATTTGCCTCGTCAGTTATGTATCGAAAGATACATGATCACCTAAGCCTGTATCGCGCATGGCATATAACTGACTGATAGTAATAGAGGATAGAGGATAGAGTAGAAATAGTGATCTGTATAGTAATAGAGGATAGAGTAGAAATAGTGATCTGTATCGTAATAGAGGATAGTGTAGAAATAGTGATCTGTGTAGTAATAGAGGATATAGAAATAGTAATCCGTATAGAAATAGAGGATAGAGTAGGAATAGTGATCTGTATAGTAATAGATGATAGAGTAGAAATAGTGATCTGTAGAGTAATAGAGGATAGAATAGAAATCGGGATCCGTATAGTAATAGAGGATAGAGTAGAAAGTGTGATCCGTATAGTAATAGAGGATAGAGTAGAAATAGTGATCTGTAGAGTAATAGAGGATAGAATAGAAATCGGGATCCGTATAGTAATAGAGGATAGAGTAGAAAGTGTGATCCGTATAGTAATAGAGGATAGAGTAGAAATAGTGATCTGTAGAGTAATAGAGGATAGAATAGAAATCGGGATCCGTATAGTAATAGAGGATAGAGTAGAAAGTGTGATCCGCATAGTAATAGAGGATAGAATTGAAATCGGGATCCGTATAGTAATAGAGGATAGAGTAGAAAGTGTGATCCGTATAGTAATAGAGGATAGAGTAGAAATAGTGATCTGTAGAGTAATAGAGGATAGAATAGAAATCGGGATCCGTATAGTAATAGAGGATAGAGTAGAAAGTGTGATCCGTATAGTAATAGAGGATAGAGTAGAAATAGTGATCTGTAGAGTAATAGAGGATAGAATAGAAATCGGGATCCGTATAGTAATAGAGGATAGAGTAGAAAGTGTGATCCGTATAGTAATAGAGGATAGAGTAGAAATAGTGATCTGTAGAGTAATAGAGGATAGAATAGAAATGGGGATCCGTATAGTAATAGAGGATAGAGTAGAAAGTGTGATCCGTACAGTAATAGAGGATAGAGTAGAAATAGTGATCTGTAGAGTAATAGAGCATAGAATAGAAATAGGGATCCGTATAGTAATAGAGGATAGAGTAGAAAGTGTGATCCGCATAGTAATAGAGGATAGAATTGAAATGGGGATCCGTATAGTAATAGAGGATAGAGTAGAAAGTGTGATCCGTATAGTAATAGAGGATAGAGTAGAAATAGTGATCTGTAGAGTAATAGAGGATAGAATAGAAATAGGGATCTGTATAGTAATAGAGGATAGAATAGAAATCGGGATCCGTATAGTAATAGAGGATAGAGTAGAAAGTGTGATCCGTATAGTAATAGAGGATAGAGTAGAAATAGTGATCTGTAGAGTAATAGAGGATAGAATAGAAATGGGGATCCGTATAGTAATAGAGGATAGAGTAGAAAGTGTGATCCGTACAGTAATGCAGGATAGAGTAGAAATAGTGATCTGTAGAGTAATAGAGGATAGAATAGAAATGGGGATCCGTATAGTAATAGAGGATAGAGTAGAAAGTGTGATCCGTACAGTAATAGAGGATAGAGTAGAAATAGTGATCTGTAGAGTAATAGAGCATAGAATAGAAATAGGGATCCGTATAGTAATAGAGGATAGAGTAGAAAGTGTGATCCGTATAGTAATAGAGGATAGAGTAGAAATAGTGATCTGTAGAGTAATAGAGGATAGAATAGAAATGGGGATCCGTATAGTAATAGAGGATAGAGTAGAAAGTGTGATCCGTACAGTAATAGAGGATAGAGTAGAAATAGTGATCTGTAGAGTAATAGAGGATAGAATAGAAATTGGGATCCGTATAGTAATAGAGGATAGAGTAGAAAGTGTGATCCGTATAGTAATAGAGGATAGAGTAGAAATAGTGATCTGTAGAGTAATAGAGGATAGAATAGAAATGGGGATCCGTATAGTAATAGAGGATAGAGTAGAAAGTGTGATCCGTACAGTAATAGAGGATAGAGTAGAAATAGTGATCTGTAGAGTAATAGAGGATAGAATAGAAATTGGGATCCGTATAGTAATAGAGGATAGAGTAGAAAGTGTGATCCGTATAGTAATAGAGGATAGTAGAAATAGTGATCTGTAGAGTAATAGAGGATAGAATAGAAATAGGGATCCGTATAGTAATAGAGGATAGAGTAGAAAGTGTGATCCGCATAGTAATAGAGGATAGAATTGAAATGGGGATCCGTATAGTAATAGAGGATAGAGTAGAAAGTGTGATCCGTATAGTAATAGAGGATAGAGTAGAAATAGTGATCTGTAGAGTAATAGAGGATAGAATAGAAATGGGGATCCGTATAGTAATAGAGGATAGAGTAGAGAAAGTGTGATCCGTACAGTAATAGAGGATAGAGTAGAAATAGTGATCTGTAGAGTAATAGAGCATAGAATAGAAATAGGGATCCGTATAGTAATAGAGGATAGAGTAGAAAGTGTGATCCGTACAGTAATAGAGGATAGAGTAGAAATAGTGATCTGTAGAGTAATAGATGATAGAATAGAAATTGGGATCCGTATAGTAATAGAGGATAGAGTAGAAAG